GGCCGGCGGTCCCGAGCCTGCACAGGGCTGTCACCTCGGTCACCTTAGGGCCTGCGGGGGGGAGGGAGAGCACCGACCAGGGAGGGGGCAAAAGGGACATTCTGGGGCCACAGGGCGCCCCTAGAGACACCTCAGGAAACGAGACCCCGAGTGGGCTCAACCTGAGGATCCCGGGACAAGATGTGCAGTGCTTGGGGCTGAGGATTTAGCTCAGCGGCACAGCGCCTGCCTGGCAAGCGCAAGGTTGTGAGATCGATTCCTGGTACCGGGAAAGAAAAAAGAAAAAGGATGTGCAGTGCAGTTGGACAGGGACACCTGCGGGGGGCTGGCAAGGTCTTCACCTGAAGGCCCATGGAGGAAGGGGCCGCGGGCCAGAGCGGGGACCTGAACCGGCTCTAGAGGAGCAGGGAACAAAGTTCTGTGATGCTGCCAAAGTGACGTTTTGGCCCAATCCCGCTGGCAGCTACAACCAGGAAGAGTTAAATAGATACGGCAAAGTCAACGCAAATAAATATGCTGGAGTGAGATCCTTGAGTCAGTGGTGACCACTGCTTTGCGGACTTTATATTTTTACACAGAGTCCAGGCTGGCCTCGAACTCCCTATGTAGCCCAGGCTGGCTTGGAACTCGCCATCCTCCTGCCTCAGCCTCCCCAGGGCTGGGATCACAGGTGTGCACCACAGCCCAGCTTCAGGCAGCCTCTGCTGCGTGCCCATTCGCCCTTCTCTGTGCCTCTCCCTGCGACGTGAGCTAGTTTCCAGCAGGGTCACTCCTGGTTCTGGGACCGAGGCCCAGCTGCGGAGCCTAAATCTGGGAGACCGTTTCGCCAGCGGTCAGAAGCTGAGCTTGTGCCGCTCTGGAGGCTGCGGAGTCGCCTTGGGCAAAGGGGGAAACCGAGGCGTGGATCGGCTGACGCCACCCTCCCTCTCCGTGTGACTTCCTGCTGCAGCAGCCCCACCGCCCAGAGCCCGGCCCGGGGACAGCAGCGGGGACAGCGGCGGCGCCCCCTTCCCTACCGCAGGAGCAAGGGGTGGAGAGAGGCGGCCTAGAACCTGAGCTTCCAGGACCAGCGACAGGGCCGCTGTGGAGACAGCCTGTGGGTTTCGCTCTTTGCTTCTCGCATCCCGATCCCTAATTTCAATTACTGGAAAAACAGACCCAAGTGATTCACCTCCGATGGACCAAGGCCTCCGACCGGGGCTGCACTGCGCATGTGCGACTACCCACCCCCGGAAGTGCTGTCCAGGGTCAGCACCCCCCACACTTCTCTTCGTAGTCGCAGCTCGTTGGATTTTATACTTTTTATTTTCCTTGCTGGGGATCAAACCCAGGTCCTCTCACATACTAGACACATGCTCTGCCACTGCGCTATACTCCAGCCTTTTCACTGTACGGTCAGACCCTGGTTCTTAACAGCTTTGAAAATTGTCTAATTTGGTAGAAACATTCTGACATGAAAACACTGTCCCGGTCGGTGCAAGCTAGAATTTGTGGTGTCCGTGTCCTCCTGACTCACTTCCCTTCCCAGCCAAAACAGTTTGTTTGGTACCTGTCACATCTCTCAGGAGCAGTTAACAACAAGAACCAAGGTAACATTGTATTTTGACTCTAAATTGCCCAGGCTGGCCTCAGATGTGCAACCCTCCTGCCTCAGCCTCCTGAACAGCTACAGTGACAGATTGTACCAGGTAATATAGCCTATTTCTTAATCAGGCTACTAAAGGTATTTCCCAGCTCTTTTCCCCTGCTCACCCTGGGATTCTGTCCCAAAATGGGGTCTCTCAAGAGCTGAAGGAGCCCCAGATTTCGGGTGTCCACGTGACAGAGAATCGTTTTGCCGCATGGGGAAGCAGTCAGCCTGGGAATGGAGCCTTTGCTTTCTGTGGGGCATCTCTGACACCAGGTCAGCAGCTGCAGGAAGTGGACAGGAAGGCCCTTCTGTTTATTTATTTATTTATTTATTTAAATTTTTTTTTTTTTTTTTTTTTTTTTTTCAGTACCGGGGATCAAACTCATGACCTCGCGCTTGCCAGGCAGGCGATTACGCCACTGAGCTATATCCCCAGCCCCAAGGAAGTTCCTTCTGGGTTATCTCCCCGGGCTCTTCCGGTGGGCATCAGAGGGAGCGTAGGTGAATGCGTTCAGAAACTAAAGCGATCTGTGAGTGGTTTGTGCCCTCATTACCATCAGAACCCAGAGATTCTGGGTTTGGCAAAGAGGCTGCAATCAGATCTGGTACCAAAGTGCCTAGGATCTCAACTCGCTCTCCAAGATTCCTGGGGCCTGCTGTCTCTCTTCTCGGTAGAACGTGGGATTAAAACCTTTCAATGCCACGGACCCTGAAGAAATAGTCAAAGGGGCATCAGTTGGAATAAATTCCATCTGGTAAAGATGAGAAAAATACCAAGAACTGTAAGATAATCACGGAAAACTCAGTGAGAGTCAGCCATGATAGCACTGGTGGATCCCAGCACTGAGGCAGGAGGATTACAAGTTTGGGCTCAGGCTGGGAACTGTAATAATTTATTGAGACCTTGTTTCAAAACAAAAATAAGCAGGGCTGGGGATATAGCTCAGCGGCACAAGCACCTGCCTGGCAAGTGCAAGGTCCTGAGTTCAATCCCTGGTACCAAAAAAAATAAAATAAAATAAAAGGAAATAAACAGCCAGGCATGGTGGTGCATGCCTGTAATCCCAGCACTCAGGAGGCTGAGGCAGGAGGATCATTGCAAGTGTGAGACCAGCCTGGGCTACAAAGGGAGCTTAAGGCCAGCCTGAACTGCATAGCGAGACCCTATCTCAAAAAGACAAAAAAAAAAAAAAAAAGGAAAAAGAAAAAGCGGCTGGGATACAGCTCATGTGAAGGCCCTGGGTTTAACCCCCAGCACCAGGAAAAACCAAAATCGAACTCAGTGAGTACCTACTATGCATTAAGCACTACCTTGTGCTATCATTAACTCTCATTGAACTTCGTGAGGAAGGAGTTACAAAAAAATATCCTCAGGTGTGGAGGGAAATGGTAGGCTTCCATGGAGTGTGACAGCCGGTCCTTACCGGTGTCTCCTCCTAAAGTGGGTCGTGTTTTCCCTACTTAGGAAGACGCGCAGATGAAGCAAAGATACAGCAGCCAAAGATGCAGCGCGGCTCTTGTATAGTCGAGGGCTGGGTGCTCCTAGGTCAAAGGCCAGACGCGGTGCTGAGGCTATGTGGTCCCTGAGGCTTCTCTTTGTTCTCTGATCAGGCACAGGACCTGCACCCCAGCGGAAGACCAGGTCATTTTTGGACCAAGACTCCCGAAGAGGAAGCAGAGTGCGGCTCAGTGGGGAGGGGCGCGGGACAGACCCGAGGTCCCGGAACCGCAGCTGCCGCCCCCAAGGAGCGTGGCTGGAAGCACAGCATGTGCCAGGCATTGTCCCCCGGCACTAAGGCTGCCACCTACCTGTCCACTCTGCTTCACGGGGCAGGGGCGGGGACTCCGTGCTGTCCCTGCTGACACTGTGATTCTAGTTTTCAAGGTCCTGTGAAGGGCAGACATCGGACCTCCCCAGCCCCTCGGGGGCCCATCCTTGACCCCAATCAGAAGAGGGCGGCCAGTAGGCAGCTGCAGCCCTGCCTGGAGGGTGCGGCTGAGCTTGGGCTCCGGCAGCCCTTCCTGTGCCTCAGGGGACCCATCGGGAAAGGGCCCGGCTCACAGTCCCTCCAGATCCCGGACCCCACAGCCTCAGGGCTCATCCTGCCTTCGCGAGCCCCTCCTGTCACAGCCTCGCGTCAGTCACCTTCCTGAAAGGGGCCGGCCAGGCAGCAGCACTGCAGAATGGCACCCCCCCCCCCAGCAGGGTAGATGGGGCACCGGGCACCTGGCAGCAGGTCTGCGGTGCCTGCGGGCCTCTGCACAGCCTGAGTGTGTGTGTGTGTGTGTGTGTGGTGAGCAAGTGTGACTATGTGTATGTGTGTATGAATGTGTGTGCCGAGGACATGGACACGGACATCTGTGCAGAGGCCTCTTCTGCCTCAGGAACTCTCAGCGCCACTGGAAAGATGCGGACCCAAAGAGCCCTGGCCGCGCCGTGCCCCGTTCCCCGAAGCAGCACTTCCCAGACAGCAGGTGAGGGCAGCCAGCTCTTCCACCGAGGGAGGCCGGTCAGGTCCAGTCTGTTCTGCGAGGCTGTGCCAGGGCCTCCTGTCGGCCGCCACCTCCCGCCCCGCACTCCCCTCCTCTCCCGTCCATCTGCTCGGTGGCCGCGGGACGCAGGCCCCAGGGACGCCCAGGCGCGGGGCCTTTGAATTATGGAGCAGCTTTCCTGCCCGTCAGAAAGGCCCCGGCTGAATAATTCACCACCCTGGAAGCCCCGGTGGCTCCCACGCGGTAGAAGTAGGTCAGGCGTGCCCGGCCTGGGGGTCGGCCAGGGCCCTGCTGCTCCTAACAGCGCAGCGAGGTGAGGGTATGGGCCAGGGCCAGTCACCCTCTCCTCCTGGAGCTGCCTCTGGTCGTCACCCCTGCCGGGGACCCAGGCTCCTCCTCCCCCTCCCTCACTGTCACCCGGGCCACAGCTGCCAACACAGCCGCCAGGAGTGCACACCCTCGGCCCAGGCCACCAGGGCGGGGCTGGGTTGCACAAGGGGCCAGGCGGGGCAGGAGAGGGACGCCTGGGTCACCAGCGGGGTGTGCGTGGGGCAGCGACGGGCCAGCGCAGCCACCCTCGCTTTGCTCAGGGCAGGGCCGGCGTGGAGCCCAGCAAGGGGCTCCTGTCGCCCCAGCACAGGGGTGCTGCCCTGGGCAGCCCAGGCTGTGAGCGCCGCCGGGCTCCGCGAGCCCGCACACCCCGGGAGCCCCCCGCCAGGACTCGGCTGCAGCGCGCGGCAGGCGCCCTCTCCGGGCAGGGTCCGAGCCAGGCTGGCGGAGCGGAAGCTGGGCCCAGGCTCCTCCCTGCCGCCCCCTGGCGGCCGCGCTGCTCACACCCCTGCCTCCCGCGGGAGGTACAAGCAGAGCTCGCAGAGCAGTCGCTTTCGAGACTTTTATTTCATATTTTCATATATTACCCAGTTTCACATTCTCACAGGATCAGCAAGTACAACGGCCACCTTGTCCCCCACGTCTGCCACGGCAGGACAGTCGCGGCCACAACCAAAGGTACAGCGCGGCGCGCTCACAACGCAAAATAAAACTGCAGGACTTCGCCTTCAGCCGCGCCTGCCGCGGGGCTCACCGCGGACGGACGGAAACCGCTGCTCCTTCACGCTTCAAACTAAACACTGAACTTCCCTGACAGGGCGACGAGGCCTCTTTAATAATTAAATGGTACACACATGAAAAATCCTTTATGATGCATAAATATTTTCTCACACAGGGTACAAAAATACGTTCCACGTTTTGGTTTCGAGGCTTGGACAGAGCAGTGGGGTGGGGTGCGCCGTGGCGACTTCGGGGCGGGCCCCCGGCGGGCGCGGCTGCAGGGCCCGGCACCGGGAGGACAGTGCCAGGACCCACGCCACGGCAACGGAGCGAACACAAACGACACTCACATGTACACAGGCGAAGTGTCTTCGTTCGAGCCAGAAAACGTGCAAAACTAAACGCCTCGCCTCCCTGTGGGGCAGCTACAGAAAGGAGCACATCAGGGCGGGGGCCTGGGTGGCACAGGGCCGAGGGGGGGACACGGGACGCTGTCCGCGAGCCACAGCTGTAGGAGCCGCCGTCTCCGGAGGCAGCAGGAGCTCTGCACAGGCCGTGCTGGCCCCACCCACGGCCCGTCCGCTCCCGGACAAGACCTGGAGGGGGCGAGAGAGGCGGCCGTGAGCAGAGTCGGGGATGGGCACCGCCCGGGGCTTCCTTCCCTCGGACGCTGCCGGGGCCCGGGGGTGAGAGAAGGGAGGCCCACGGTCCGCACGAGGCCAGCGCCCAGGACGCCTGCGGTCTCGGCCGGGCCAGCACTTACAGCCGCGCTAGCAAAACTGGCGGTGTTTCCATCCCTGCTGGGCGGCGTCTGAGGACGGGAACCAGCGCATCTGCAGGGGAAGCCAGCACAGGTGACCGGCGGTCGCTGACGGCCCTCACGCGGCTTACAGACCCGTCCCTGCGGCCTGAGAGCAGGACGCGTCACCTGCCCCGGCACCTCCGCAGGACGGAGGTCACCCAGACGATTCGGACGGGCGGACTCAGCAGCCAGGCGCTTCCCGCTACAGAAAAGGCCAGTGCGACTTCAGGAGCCGGGCGGAGGCCCAGTGGATCGTTCCGCTTCCTGGCTGGGCCTTGGTACCCACGCCCCGTGAGCCCCCGGCAGCCTCAGGCCGTCCTTACCGTACCTGGCAGCACGGCCAGAGAAGGCACAAGGGAACCACCCTCTTCCACCCGTGGGCAGCAGGCGCCGCCCCAGGGCACCTTGGACCACAGCAGGGACGTGGGGAAGGAGCGGTGGCACACTGCGGAGGTAGCAGCCAGGCCGCCAGACGCCCCCAGGTCCCCGCTTGGCTGCCTGAGACCCCTGCCTCCGGGGAGCACAGAGGACAGGAGCAGTGCCAAGCCCGCTGGGACAGCTCATGCCCGCATCCTCCCAGCACCGGGTGCCGTCTGGGGCAGCACAACACCAGGCCAGCGCCCTCCCGGGGCGGCAGGAAAGCAGAGGCCGGCAGCCCCGGTGCCGCACCCCGGGCGGGCCCCCATGCCAGGGCCTCCTTGAGGCTCTTAGTACAGGGCACTGTGGTCACCAGAATACAGCTGGCCCCAGGCCACCAGGAGCGCCTTCGCTGAGCCCCACCCCACACAGAGAGCACCCTGCCCGCCTCGGGGACGTCTGGAAGGCCGCTGGCGCAGGCTGGGCCCTCACTGGCCTTTCCAGCCAGTCACACGAGAGCAGCAGCGTTGCCACTGAGAAGCCTGTGGCTCGGTCCAGCTCAAAGCCCTCGGCAAGCCCTGCACCCCAAGGGGCAGCGCAGCGAGGGTGCCAGCCCCTCCCGTGGCCTTTGGGGGAGGAGGGCTGCGCACAGCAGCGGGGTCTCGGGCAGCTCCCTCAGAGCAGCTGCCAGGTCCCTGCTACACTCACGCCCCGCGGGGCTGCCATCCTGCCCCTTAGAGGCAGCCAGGGGTCAAAGGCCTCGGGAAGCAGCCCGGTCCCTTTCCAGATCTCCCCTTCTGGACTCAGAGCGGATGAGGAGCCCCAGCCCGGAGGCGGGGCCTGCCCATCCGGCCCCCTAGCTGTCCCTGGAAAGTCGGGGCTCCTGAGGGCCGGTCCCACGGGCTGCTTTGGAACCGGGAGAGGGGGCAGCCTCAGCCCCCACAGATCTCAGGACTTTCCAAGCAGAAACCAAGTGGGCAAACAAAACAATCTATGTGAGAAATCTGAGGCGCTGACAGGCGCGGGGCGCATGGCTCAGAAACCCGGACGCATACCAGGCTGACAAGCCACGCCTGGACCTTGGAACGGGGCTGGGGATGATAAAAAGGACCCGGATGGGTGTGACAAGTGTCATCTGCCTTACTGACACAGACTTTCGCGAGATCGGTCCTGAGATTAACTGCTGGGCGTGGTGGCTCACACCTACCATCCCAGTACCCGCAGGCTGAGGCAGAAGAACTGCTTAATTGGAGGCCAGCCTGAGCGACATAGCAAGATCCTGTCTCAAAAAAACTCAGTAAGATCCACTATATATGGTCTTTTCTGTGCAGGCCTGGTAACAGAGCGCAGGGCCTGGGGCTCGCGCTCCCACCGAGCTACCCCTCTCACACAGGGATTCTAAGAAGATCGGATCTGTGGATTTCCTCACACCTGCTCCCCGCTGCCTTCCCCATCTGAGGACCGAGAGCCCTGCAAGAACTTTGCTGAACCCTCACCAAGGCCGTGTGGCGGACGCCGCTGTTTCAGAGGTGAAGGGAACTACGTGACCTCAGGCCCTTGGTGAGCAGCGGAAGCCATCTAACCGGGGAGAGCGCGGTGACCTACTGCCCCGTCCTAGGATGGACATGGGAAATGAAATCCCACCTGCAAGGAGGAGACGAGGGACCCTCCCCAGGCCACCGGCTTCCCGCGTCCTGCTCAGAAGAGGAGACAGCAAGCTGAGGCCGAGAGGACCAAGCTCCAGGGCCGCCGCACAGCCGGCTGCACACCCCAGGGCTGGGGTCCCTGCCCAGGCTGGGCTGCCGCAGGGTGGGCGAGGGGAGGGGTCCCCGTCCCGCCTGGCCCTCAGTTTTCCCACTGCTCCTTGGGCTCAGGACCATCAGCCCGGATCAACAGCGCCTGCCTCCCTCCCTCACACGCGCTAGGATCTCAGGAGGCGCTGCCAGGCGGGCAGGCGGGCAGGCGAAGGGAAGCGCTGTCCGACCCGGGCCTCACAGCGCCCTTCCCTGCTGTGACATCCAACCAGCTTGAAGAGCAACGGCAGAAATCATAATGTCACTAGTCCACCTCCCAAAAAACTGTCCTTTGGGGTACTGCCCCCTCCAGGGACACCTCTGTCCCCTTCCAGCCTTGGATGGGCCCTCAGCAGCGGGGAACAGCGGCAGTCGGGCCTATCAGGAGGCGCGGATGGGAGGGTCCCTGCTGAGGAGCGGCCTGCTGACAGGGTGGCCCCTGGAGCCCAACTTCACTCCTTGCAGTTGCACAACCCCGATGTCTCAGGCCCTTCCCGGCTCCCCAGCCCGCCGGGCCTGGCCAGCGTGTTCCTGAGGCTCAGCTCACAGCCCCCTCAACCCTCCTGCTGTGTGGCCTCCTGTCACCACCCCTGGGAAGGGCCTGTACTCAGGGCAGAACCGCAGGGTCTCGTGCAGCAGGGGACAGAGCCCCGCGCCCCCCCTTCCTCTGGCTGCAGACGGCGTCCAGGCTCACGGGATAGGAGCAAGTGCGCAGTGAGCTCTCAGGACCCCCAGGCACCGTCCCCACGTTAACGACCAAGTCTCCCCAGGCCTGAGGCGGGGCCTGCTTCTTCTAGTGTTCCAGATGAGCAGAGCTCAAGGCCCAGGGATCTTAAATGCTTGTGAGTTCACAAAGACAGGGACAGGCAGAGGCAGGCGGTCTGGCCCTGGGGACCAGGCTTGGCTTGGGAGAGTTGTGGTCCTGTGGCCACAGGTGGACAAGAGGGTCCCGGCCTGTAGGTGGGCGACGCCGGCCTCTCGGTGCCCATGCACTCGGCCGGTGCCCGCCGTGCGGGCTCTCTGCTCACCTTGCATCAGATCCAGAGCCCCAAGAGCAGAAACACACAGCTCCCTGGGGCCCGGGGAGCCGGAAGGACAAAGCCCCAGTGGCTGGAGCTCCCCACACCCCCCTGGGGCTTACCTGGGCATGCAGGGTGGCAGCCGCAGTGGCAGCTGGGTAAGCGAAGGCACCGTGAGAGATGGCTGGCGTCAGCTCCGTGCTGTACAGAGGGTAAGGGGCCCAGGCCTCTGGGGACGCAGGGATCAGAGCAGCACCCATCAGGTCATCTGCAGTGGGACATGGCAGGCTCCGGCGTCAGCACACTGGCTTCCCTCCACCACCGCCCCAGACAGAGAAGGGGCCCCAGTGCCACGGCTGAACCAGACTCCTCTCCCCACCCCAAGAGGACTCCAGGGCAGGGAAGGAAGCCACGTGGACACGACTGAGCGCCCCTCTGACTCAAGAGGCTGGCGGACGGTCTCAGCCCGACTTAAATGAGAGAAATCAGCGGAGGCAGAAAAGCGGTCAGCGCTGCAGCACGGGAAGGAAGCCGCAGTCCCGGAGGGGTGCCTATGGGTCCGATGGGCTCCTGAACGGGCGCCAGGATAGGGAGGCCTGCTCTGCACGCAACGCCACGAGAGGCCACAGCTCGGAGCGCCACTCACAGGGGTCCCTCGTGATGAAATGCGCTCCCAGGGCCGGGTGAATGCTGCTAGGATTTGGTGTCGCCATCAGCTTGCTCTTCGCCATCTTGGTGTTGGCTTTGGCGAATTCTAGCCTCAAGGTCTGCGGGTTCTCAGGATCAAAGCGAATACCCTGTGAGGGAAGGGAAGGAAGACAAAGCACCACTGTCAACTGTGGCAGCCACCAGAAACCAGCTCACCGCGGGCTTGTGTGCACCCTGGGGGTGTAGCAGGGGCAACACGGCTCAGACACAGTGACATCTGTCACCAAGGGCCAGCCGAGGACTCTGCCCTGGGACGGCTGGGAATCAAAGCCTATCTGTGGCCCCTCTCCCTGGGCGCGGAGTGGGAGTGGGAAAGGGTCTGTAGAAGACAGACGGGGACACTCACTGCTGAGGACTATGGTTCAGACAAAGGCCTGTTTTCTGCCTACTCACGTTCAGTGCGTTCTTGGCCGCTTCTGCGCCTGCCCGGCTGTCAAAGATCACAAAACCAACAGGCTAGCAGGAAAAAGAGAGAACACCCTGGCATCTCTGCCAGCACCCATCCCCGCAAACAAAGACAGACCAAGGCTGCCAATCATGGCGGCGCACACCTGTAATCCCAGTACTTGGGAGGCTGAGGCAAGAGGATCGCCACGAGCTCAAGGCCAGCCAGGGCTTCAAGGGCTGGCTTAATTATATAGCAAAGCCCTGCCTTTTAAAAAAAAAAAGAAAGGGCCTGGAGGAAAGACCAAGGCTGAGGCTGTCGCCTGGGGCAGATGCTTGCCTAGCAAGCGTGAAGCCTTGGGTTCCGGCCTCATGCCGCAAAGAGGGAAAAAAGGGGCGGGCACCCATCTGGAGTGGGTGTTTGTCCTGCTCGTGAGAAGGGGCCATGCGCTGGAGTGCAGCTGCACACTGCCCACAGCCTTGCCTTCACCCTGGGCCAGCAGACACTGGGTAGCCACACGAACAGAGCTGTTTCAGTCTTACATGCTGTGCTTTCAGGAGAAGCCCTTTCATTTTTATTTTTTGAGGCACAGTCTCACTGTGCATTCTAGACCGGCCTTTAACTTTTTTTTTTTTTCCAGTAGCGGGAACCGAACTCAAGACCTTACGCTTGCCAGGCAGGTGCTGTGCCGCTGAGCTAAATCCCCAGCCCCTTGAACTCACTATCTACTCCAGGCCTGCCTTGAACTCACTCTTGGTGATCCTCCTGCCTCAGCCTCCCAAGCCCTGAGATTATAGGCATGTACCACCACCACCACACCCAGCTCCAACTTCATTTGGACAACCATTAGTGGAGAACCGGGATGACCTCCAAGGCTCAGGACCCAGCTTCCCACAGGAGGGGCCAGCCTCGGTTCCCCAAGTCCCTAGAGCCAAACAGAGGACCTGGAGCTAGCTGGTAAAGAGGCAGGGGATGTGGAGGACGCCCTTTTGTCGCCCCAGGACAGACAGGGACAGCAGGGACTGGGTCTCCATCATCACAGGCCTCAGTCCAAGCTCAGCCGTGGCCTGGGCTGGAAGGCAAACCCCGGAGCGTGAGTACCTGTCTGGAGGTGAGCTTGATGAGGGACCCTTCGTATCCCTGTGGAGAGAGGCGGCCAGTCACAAGCCCTGCCCCCGCCCCCCACTGACCTCCCCTGTGCGTGTTCTGAGTCGCACGGCCCAGCACACGGATGGCAGCACACGCACAAACTCAGGCATGCTGCAGTAACGTGTACCGCAGGAGCGCAGACCCTGCCTCGTACATTTCCTCACCTGCAAGCGAAAACAGCCATGCTGAGCTGCAAGGGTTCCTTATTTATAGATGAGGAAATGGGCTCCACAGGCTCCGCTCTGTGAAGCCTGAGTGGGCAAACCCAGACCGGGCCAGGCCGGGACCGCTGCCTCCCCGTCTGCTCCTCTCCCGGCTCGGCTCTGCCTCGGGGGTGGCCAGGGCCCCCCCACTTACCTTGAACGGCCGGAAGAGCAGGTAGAGCTCTCTGGGTTTGATGTCCACAGGGAGCCCGCTGACAAACAGCGTCCGCACCTGGGACAGACGGCAGTGGTTAGGCCAAGTGAAAGAGCCCCGTTCGCCACCCCTCAAAACAATGCACACAAAAATGTCATGATAGATGTATGCGCAATGTTCATCCCACCCCACCAGAAGTCCTGGAGCGGATTCAACAAAGGTCCCAGCACTCCCATTTCTCTTACTGTTCCCCCAGACTTAGGCCCTGAACTGGTGGGACATGTGTTAAATTCTTGCCTCTAGACCCAGCTCTTGGCACAGAGCTTAAACTCCAAGTTTACTAAGTATGAGAATGGGTAAGGTGTCAGAAATGGAACAATTATGCTGGGTTCTGAAGGATGAGTAGAATCTTGCCAGCTTCATATGAGGCACATAATGCTGTATAAATCTCCTACTCCCCGTGGTTGTAAGTCGGTCGCAAAGCCAGGTCTGAAGACCAGCTATCCAGCCAGACCTGACCTCCTGAGCGGCAGGAGGGTCTGAGCGGGTTGGTAAACTTCTTAACTAGCCAGGTGTGGTGGCGCACACCTGTAATTCCAGCACTCAGGAGGCTGAGGCAGGATGATCGTTGCAAGTTCAAGACCAGCCTGGGCTACAAAGTGACCTCAAGGCCAGCCTGAACTGCATAGTGAGACCCTGTCTCAAAAAAAAAAAAAAAAAAAAAGAGAAAACCTGCTTAACTAACTTCCTGCTGCTATTTAAATGTTGCTGGCACCTGGTGCTAAACTAGCTGCCACAGTGACCCGGATCAGGGAGTTTCCAGGGTAGATCCCTTAAAAATGCATCTCAAAACTGGCTTCTTGAACAATGCAAAGTCGGAATGCCGGACAGGCCTCCACACACTCCACCTGTTTTGCGCCATATCTCACTGGACTAAAATGAGCGCAGGTCTTCTCAACACCCCAGGGTTGATTCAGAAGACAGCTCAGCAGCTCACCCCACTGGGGCCAACCTCCCTTCTCCCCAGGGACCAAAGACCCCCACCCCCGTGTTCCAGGGATGGCCCCACATGCCCAGGTAGCAGGCTCCATGGGACATTGGCTTGTATCAGGCACCTGGAGCAATTCGGCAAGGTCAACCCCCCCACACACACACATACACACGAGCGCGCAGGACCAGGAATAAAGGAAACAGCCTGATGGCTGCTGTCTCCCACGTCACCACCCCCACCCACACCAGAGTGGCACCGTGCCAAGGCAAGGACAAATGTCTGCCCTCATGTGGGTTTTTGGCAAGCACACTTGGCAAGGTCACTAGCCACTTAGGACAGTCCCCCCACTGGCCACGCCCTTTCCTTGCCAGCCGAGCCTGGGACTAGCCCCCGCTCCCACCCAACCCCCACGTCCCAGCCCCTCCAGGCCCCTCTGCCCCTGCCGTCAGAGCTGCAAAGCGGCTGGCCAAGGTCACATGGTCTTTACAGGCCGAGGACACTGGCCTCTGGGTACCAGGAAGGAACGGGACACCTGAGTGCCTGCTCCGTGCTCAGGGTGGCGCCGGGTCCCCCAGCAAGGTGGGCTGAGTGTGCACCGCCCGGTGGGTGGACCTGCCCCGTCCTCGCCCTCGTAACCACCCCCACCGCCCGGCAAGGACACTGAGCAGTTCCTCGTTCCCGCAGGGCCCACCCAGCCCACCCAGGCTAATGTTAGACCCTCCCCCAACGGCTCCTCCCTGGCAGGCCTCCCCAGGGGCCCCTGAAATAGCCAAGTGCTCGGCACAGCTTCCCGGCACGGGGACCCCGCCCTCATCTGCAGCCAACACTGGTTCCCAGCCCCCCCCCCCCCAACCACAGGGCGTTGCTCCCCAGTTTCCATCTCTCAGGTTCTAACAACCCCCAAAGCCCAGCTAATAACACCCGTCCTGTCCCTGGCTCTTCTGGGGACACAAGGCGTCACAGACCCTGTGCAAGGAGCTATGCTGGGTTGCGGGGAGGCTGAGTCAGGCCAGCCTGGCCCGAGTGCGCTCCGCGGTTCTCATTTGATTCTGGCCACCCAGGCAACGAGCACCCCCAGACAGGGACAGCGAGGCCCAGGGAAGCCCGGTACGTTGCCAGGCGTCGGCCATCGAGGAATGGAGCTGAGCGGACTCTGCTGCTGGGCCCCCAGCAATGCGCCCAGAAGCCTCACTGGCCAAGGCTGGGTGACAGACGGACGGACAGACAGACAGTCCCACGGATTCCGCCACCAGTTCCTCCCCGCACTTGTCCCAGGCGACAGCAAAGTGGACAGCTGTGGCAGAAACTGCAGACCAGAGGTGAGGTGACCCTGAGCTCACAGGCTGGTCAGTGCCCAGCCGGCGGGATGAGGTGCGAGGGTCCCCGCCGCCCCAGAGCCCAGGCCCACGGCCCCTCCGCCCTCCTGGGGGGACGGCACCCCAGCCCCTCCAGCTCCCGACTCTCCTCCTCCTCCTGAGCGCACCCACCCCGACCACAAGCCCAGGGCAGGAGCCGGCCTCAAGGCCTCCTGTCTCCCCCGCCTCCTCTCCAGCCGCACAGCCACACGGGGCCTCCCCAGGCCTGAGCCACACCCCACTCGCACGGTGGTGAGGCGCACGGGACGCCTGCTGCCCCCCGGCTCCTGTGACCAGCACCTGCTTGGCCTCACTGCGCGTCCCGGGCCGTGGCTTTACGAGGCCAACAGAGGGCTGCGTGGCGGCCAGCACGGTCTGCGGTGGGGAACGTGGGCGAGGCGGCCTCAGCCGGCCCCTGGACGCTTGTTTGCCCCTTCCCAGGGGAGGGCCCAGCTTAAAGGCACCTTGGAGATCCCCCAGTTCAACCCCCTCTCCTCTTCCACAGAGCGGGAAACCGAGGCTCAGAACAGGGCCACAACACACCCAGTGGCAGCGAGGACCCCTCAGCACACGCAGTTGCTCCGCCAAGGCCCACGGACTGGTGTTGTGCCTCAGGTCGGCAAGGCCCCGTCCTCCATGGCACTGCCTGGTGCCAGATGCAGGGCGACCTGGCTGGACACCACCAAGACGCCTCAGGTGCCCAGAGCTGCTGAAGCCCACACCAGGAAACTGACCTGAACGCACGCCCTGCCTATCCCACAAGCTTATTCAGAGACCTCAACACACACACACAACGTAAAGCCACACCTGTAATCCCGGCACTCTGGGAGGCTGAGGCAGGAGGGCTGCAAATTCAAACCCAGCCTGGGCAAGTAGTGACATAACGAGATCCTGTCCCAAAATAAAAACTATAATCCCCAGTGCTGCCAAGAGAAAAAGGAATTTCAAGTATTTGAGAAAAGTGTAAGGGGTTGTCAGCAGGCCCTGGAAGGCAGAGCTCCTCTGTGAGCACCCCATACACACCCCCTTCTGCAGAAGCACACATATCCCAAAGGGCTGCGCCTCCCTGCTCTCGTTTTTGTTTTTCTTCCGGTACCAGGAATCGAACTCATGACCTTGTGCTTGCCAGGCAGGCACTGTGCTGCTGAGCTAAATAAATTCCCAGCTCTTTCCTGCTCTCTTGAAACTGAGGGGCAACCACAGGCCCTCTGGAAGGGTCACCAACAGGCCAGGCAGGAGCGGGTGGCGCCAGGCCCTGGTCTGGAATGGGTGGACAGAGGGCAAGGGCCCTGGCCAGGACCTGTCCCCACACAGGACGCCAGCGATGCAGCTGTGCAGCTCCTGCCACACGGCTCTGCCAGGGGCGCTGTCCATCACAGCCCCTAGCAGCAGGCAAGGGGGAGGGGAAGGACAGCCGAGTGTCACAGGAAGTACTGCCCCATCTCCAGCCCTATTCCCAAAAGCCTGGGGTGGGAAACTACCCCTCCAGGTAGGAACAAGTTCATTTTTTTGGCACTGGCATCAAACCTAAGACCTTATGCATGCATGCAGTTTACTGCTGAGCTACGCTTCTAACCCCAAGAACAGGTTTGAAAGGAGCTTCTCCTCTGGGAGGCTGAGGCAGGAAGATCTCCACTTCCAGTTCAGCCAGGGCAACTTAGGCAGGCTCTGCCTAGAAATAATATTAAAATGGGCTTGAGGATATATAGCTCTGTGCAGGGGCTGGGGACTTAGCTCAGCGGCAAAAGCGCCTGCCTGGCAAGTGCAAGGTCGTGAGTTCGGTTCCTGGTACCGGAGGAAAAAAAAAAAAAAAAAAAGAAAACGATACTCAATATAGCTCTGTGCAAAGGCCCTGAGTTCAATCCTCAGTATAGCAAATTAAAAAGTTAATTAATTAACAAAAAGCAGACAGGGGACCCAGGTCTCCCCTGGCCACCCATTCCTTTCCTTTACTAAGGGGTCAACTGCCAGGATTAAGGGGCCATGTCCAGGCTTTCTTGTCCCATGAAGCCTCTGGAGGCCAGAGCGCAGGAAGAGAGGCTCTGAAAGCCCTGAGTTCTTCCTTCAGTCCAACTCGCATTTGCCTGAAGAGCGTCAGGAAAGCCCAAGCACACTTTCAAGAACAAGGTCTGTCTTGGTTACTTTTCTCGCTCCTGAGACAAAATACCCGACACCCAAAGTTAAAGGAGGAAAGGGTTATCTGGCTCACGGTTTGTGGAGGTTCAGTCCATACTTGCCTGGCTCCAAGGTGGGGTGGCACAGGGTAGAGGAGAACAGCCACGGTGGGCAGAAGGCAGCAAAAGCGAGCAGCCCCTTCTTTGCGTCCCCTGCATCTGACAGAGGCTACCCACACTCGGCAGGCAGCACTCACCGCGGGTGGGGCAGCCGAAATCCCACCCTGACCTATGTCCAACCAGTCAGTGGCCTGGCTCAGTAATCACACACACCTGATGCCAGCGTCACCCATTCCAGATCCAGCCACCTCCGAAACACCACAGCTATGACACACGAGGCTTTGGGGGGGACACGCGGACACAAGCCTCGGCAAGGCGCTAGCAACCCCCAAGGAACCAGCCTGACAGCACAAACTCAGACGTAAGTGGAACGGCTTTCAGGCAGGACGTCAGCTTTGACAGGCCCCTTTCGCTGGGGCCTCTCGCAGGGTCCTGAGGGACATGGAGGGCAGGCGCCACGAGACGGGAGCCCAGCACCTCTCCAAGACAAGGGGCCTG